AGGGTTCACTGTCGCAAAGCACTTACCATTCATGATTAAAAACATCTTTAATAAGAGAATGAAGTTCTCTTTATATTAAACTAAAGAGAGAGGATTGAGTGTAGACTTCTTCCTCTCCGAGTGTTAGGATACTCACTGTAGAGTGTGTGGTCTCGATACTCATCTTTCAATACGAAGACGTGACTATATTCGCCACACCTTTTCATAACAAAACTTTGAGATAAATAATTGGGTACTACCCGCAAGGAGTTACTATCTGAGGACCTATTTCACTCCTAAAAACAATCTCCACAAATCAAACGTGAAATCTTGCCTCGATAGGCGAAAACTCTCTTTTCAAAAAGGATATGTTACGTTCGTTCTACCGCAAACAGGTAACGCCTAAGACTCCACAAACGAGCAGCAATACACCTAACTTCTAGAATGCGTACGATAACATCATCCATGAAACACCGGTTAATAGTTTCACGAACCACGTTAGCTCTGATTTCTCATACCAGATGAGAATACGTAGGCACAAGAAGGCGATGTCTTGGCGAGCTCACTTTTTCACCTTTCACCTGTAGTTTCCCGAACTACATTTGCTCTAATTTCTCATACCATATGAGAATACGTAGGCACAAGACGGAGATGTCTTGGCGATTAACCTCCCCCCACCACCTGTAGTTTCTCGAACTACGTTGACTCTGACTTTCTCATATCTGTTGAGAATATGTAGGCCTAGGACCGCAAATTCCTACCGAGTCTCTTCTTCTATCGTTACCTCACTTTCAGTTGTTTCTAACATCTCTTGGAACAATCTTTAAAGCAATATTTTAGCAGATATCAACACACATAGACAAACAAATGGTTCCCATCGAGTACGATGGATGCGAGGGGTGCTAATTCCTTCCCTTCGCATAATCGGCTTCCGAACCCGTTCTTTGGTCGCGAGACCATCTTATCCGTTTGTTTCTTAAGGTTTTCTCGATATTTTCCTTTCCCCTCATGGGATAAATAAATTTCGGCGGCGACTCTTCTGTCTTTCTTCTCGCCTCTCCGTTGTTGCATTTTTTCGAGTAGCGGCAGCTGGTCAAACTACTCCGACATCAAATGCTACAAGTGCTGGAAGTATGGTCATTATGCAAAGAATTGCAACTCCTACAAATGATATAACTGTGGTAAAGTGGGACACCTTACAAAATATTGTCGAGTCGAAAAGAAGGTAGAAGAAACAACTAATCTAGTTTTGGAAGCCGAAGCGAATGAAGGTTTTCTCTTGATGGCTCAAAATGAAGTCAACACCAATAATGACACACTGTGGTACCTTGATTCATGGGAAAGCAACCATATGTGTGGTCACAAATATCTATTTAAAGAGATGCAAAAGATTGAGGATAGTTATGTGTCATTTGGAGATACATCGAAGGTAAAGGTCGAAGGCAAAGGTACAATTTGTTACTTACAAAAGGATGGCTTGATTGGGTCAATCCAAGATGTTTATTACGTGCCATATCTCAAGACCAGCATTTTGAGTTTGAGGTAACTCACGGAAAAAGGTTATTCGATACTTACAAAAGATCGGGTACTACACTTGAAGAACAAGCTAGGGCATTTGATTGCTCAAATCGAAATGGAAAGAAATCGAATGCACAAACTGAATTTGAGAAGCGTTCGAGAAAAATATTTGCAAGTCAATGTTGAAAACAAAGCTTCATTGTGGCATCTACGATTTGGTCATCTACATCATACTGGTCTGAGAAGGTTAGCAAAGAGGAACATGGTGCACGGGCTTCTAGAGATGGACTATGAGGGAACATTTTGTGAAGAATGTGTTCTTAGCAAACAAATGAAAACTTCATTTCAAAAGAAGGCAGAATATCAAGTTGAACATATTCTCGAACTGATTCATACCGACATATGTGGGCTAGTCACTCTGAAAACTTTCAATGGTAAAAGGTACTTCATTTCTTTTATCAACAATTTCTCACAAAAGAATTGGGTTTATTTTTTGAAAGAAAAATCAGAAGCATTTGAACTGTTCATAAAATTAAAAGTAATGGTGGAGAAGGCAACTAATAGAAATATCAAATTCATTCGATCCGACAGAGGTGGTGAGTATACTTCGACAGATTTCATGAATTATTATGAGAAGGAAGGAATAAGAATATTTCTAACCGCATCATATTCTCCTCAACAAAACGGTGTGGCTGAAAGGAAGAACCTAACTATTCTCGACACGGTCCGTTCAATGCTCAAGAGCAAGAACATGTCGAAAGAGTTCTGGGCAGAAGCCATATAATGTGCCATTTATATTCAAAATAGATGTCCACATGTGAAGTTAGATGATCAAACACCACAAGAGGTATGGAGCGGACAAAAACCAACAGTTTCTCATCTAAAAGTGTTCGGTAGTGTGGCTTATGCACACGTACCAAATCAATGAAGAACGAAGCTTGAATAAGCAAAAGGTACATATTTATTGGATATGATGAGAGGACAAAAAGGTACAAACTACTCGACTCGAAAAGAAAGAAGGTGATAGTGAGTCGAGGTGTGCGAATAAATGAAGCAAGCAAATGGGACTAGAACAATTCGACAGAAGTTATCGTCGAGGTTGGAGAATCATTAGTCGCTGCATCAACAAGCATACCAACAAACTTCAAAACTACAGACAATGTAGATGAACTTCGACAACCCAAAATGCGAAGTTTGCAAGATTTGTATGATTCGACAAATGAGGTACAAATTGTATGCCTTTTGGCAGTTACTGAAAACATCAGTTTTGAAGAAGCATTGCGAGACAAGAAGTGAAAAACTGCCATGGATGAAGAGATTAAGGCGGTTGACCGCAACAACACATGAAAGCTAGTCGAATTGCTGAAAGGAAGTCAACCCATTGGTGTGAAGTGGGTATTCAAGAAAAAGATGAATTCTCAAGGCGAAATAGAACAGTGTAAGGCGCGACTTATTGCGAAGGGATACAAGCAAAAGGCAAGAATCGACTATGACGAGATATTTGCTCCTGTTGCAAGAATGGAGACAAATGACCGATATTTCAAATGGATGTCAAGTCAGAATTTCTGAATGTTATGCTCAAAGAAGAAGTCTACATTGAACAACCACTCGGGTATATGAAAGTTAGAGAAGAGAAGAAGGTGTTGAAATTGAAGAAAGTGCTTTATAGGATGAAGCAAGCACCGCGGGCATGAAATACATGTATCGATACATATTTCAAGCAGAATGGGTTCAAGCAATGTCCTTATGAGCATGACCTTTATGTAAAGAAGAATGGAGGTAATATGTTGCTTGTTGCTCTCTATGTCGATGGTCTTATCTTTTTGGATAGTAATGATCAGATGATAGAAGAATTCAAAGACACAATGACACGGGAATCTGAGATTACAAATTTGGGCTTGATGAGATTCTTTCTTGGTATGGAGGTTAGACAAGTAGAAACATGAATTTTTATATCACAGGTGACATATGCAAAGGAAATCTTGAAAAATACAAAATGAAAGATTGTAACCCAATCTCGACACCAATGGAACCAAATGCAAAGTTGTCGAAGTTCGATGGAGGAGAACGTGTCGAAGCGAGTAGATACATGAGTCTGGAGGGAAGTCTCGCTATCTCACATGTACAAGGCCGGACATTTCATTAAGTGTCGACATTATAAGTCGATTCATGGAGGAGCCAGTATATTCACATTGGAAGGCATTGAAGCGAATCCTAAGGTACATCCAAAGAACGGTGTCATTTGGAATGTTTTACTCAAGAACATAAGATTACAAGTTGATTGGTTACTCCAACAGCGATTGGTGCGGAGATATAGACGATCGAAAATGCACCTTAGAATATGTGTTCTTTATGGAAAATACTGCATTTACCTGGCTTTCTAAGAAGCAACCGATAATAACACTTTCGACATGTGAAGCTGAATATGTTGCAGCATCATGGTGTGTTTGTCATGCGATATGGCTTAGAAATTTGTTGAGTCAGATAGAACTAAAGCAACAAGGTGCAACCGTGATTCGAATTGACAACAAATCAACAATTGAGTTAGCAAAGAATTCAGTAAATCATGAAAGAAGCAAACACATCGTGGTAAGTCAGGATCAAGCTGCAGATATCTTCACAAAACCGCTACCAAAAATACTTTTCAATAAATTTAAGACGATAATTGATATGGTAGATGATAGAAACTTTTAAGTTTACAATTTTAATTTAGAAGTTAGTAGAAAGATAAAGAGTTTGTTGTAGTGAAAAGGCCAAGAGGTTAGTGGTCTATTAATAAAACTTAGATGCATTTTAATTTCTAAAATAGCAGTATCATGATCCATAAAGCAAGAGAGCAATATATAAAGTAGTATTTCTGTTAACACAGGATCTCTTGGCTGTCTTGGATATTTTATGTCCCAATTCGCTCTTGATGAATAAGTTCATTTGGATTCCGAATCCGGCGATCGAGTACTCGGTAAAATCCAAATCTGATTATAAAGCTCTAATGGAGGATGTAAACCCCTTTAACATCTCTGAAGATAACAGTAAGGCATTTTCTTTGCTTTGGAAATGTCTTGCTCCATTAAGCGTCAAAGCATTCGGTTGGAGAAGTATCCATAATAGACTACCAACCAAGGATAAGTTGGGACAAAGTTTCAGTGACTTTGGATTAATGTAACTTTGATAACTTTAAAGTTCTTTTCGAAATTCTTTTTGTAATAAGATTTGGATATTCCCAGTACTCGTTTTATCAAACCTTACTTTAAATAGTACTCGTTATAAACATGTGATTCAATAGTATTAGCATACCACCGAGCAAAATACGCTTTAATTATCTCAGGCCAAAAGAACGAGTACAAAGGTAAAGGAAGTAATAATAATATAATATATGAAATCATATACTTCCACACGTAAAATCCAAAGAAAGAAACCCATAACAAAATGGGTAGCTAGATATAGCTTTATTCAAAACACACACATAAGTAGAAAAAGGTGATGGATCCATCATCTTTGTTTCATCAACAATGTGTAGTGCAAAAGCATCTATGACGGGCTCCACGGCAGTGTCCGCCAGTGAAACGTTCTGTTATGCACACAGAAGCACAGTTGGTATCACTCAAACAAAATCCTTTGAATTTGTGACTTTGAGATTCACACGTCCTTGCCTCTGCCACCATACTTGGCCCTACAGTATCATTTCATATCACAAAATCAATTCAAAACACTTCTATAAAATCATACTATAATTAAGATATATCAATAGTATGTCATGTAAGTGTAAACAAGAATTTACCAGTGGCCACGAGAAGGAGAAGGAAGACAAACATGGTGGAAACCAAAGAAATTGAACGAGCCATCAAAATTTCTAAGAGATGAAAGTGGACTAGTTTAGAATTTTAAGTGAAGTGCAAATGGAACTAGCTTGTCTTAAATAGGGCAATGAAGGTTAGTAGTGTCTTTCCAAGGAATAATTTACCGACATACATATTTTTATATAACTGTTTTAGAGAAATGATTCCTTTACACTAAATTTAGCATCTACACCGTATGAAAATACTATATAATGTATTATTTTTTGCTTTTATTTATTTTTTAATGTAAATTGAAGTTTGTGCCACATTGAAAATGATTTATAAGATACAGTGTATAGTGTATGGCAATGGTGTTATAATTTCAATGTAATTACAGCATTTCTAATTCTTTTAAGATAAAGTAAGCATATAGTATAATTTTAGTAAACATCATTAATATTAGGAGTTTAATAATATTCACCGACAATATAAAATATTTTTATATTATTATTTAATATAATTTTATTAATCTATCATGTTATATTATTAATTTAAAATTTATAATTTAATGTGAAAGAATACACGGTGATTAATTAAAAGTGTAAAATAGTGTATATTCTATTTTTTTTAGTATTAGTTGTGTTTTTTTAATTATTATAATATAAAATGATAATGTATTGGACGTTAAGATTCTGATGTCAAATTAATTTTTCACTTGCTTAGTCGCTATTGAAGAGGAGGAAACTCGGGTAGGTAGTATTTGAATTGGATAAATAATTGATTTTTTACCTAACATTATTAAGACCTACTAGTATTAAGAATTTATCTCTTATATTAGAATGTTACTATATATTTGTAGAAAGAGAAAAAATTGAATGAGTATATTAAAAAAAAATCATACATGCCCCACTAAGTATATTTTGAGAGAAAATCCACGTGAATTGATATTTTTGATTTTGAATAAGTGCATATCTTAATGGATACTGACAAGTGACAACAATGAATGATTTAGAAAAGGTGACAACACAATTCAATAAATGACAAGTGGTGGCAGAAACTTTATTGCTTTTGAGATAATCTTTTTACTTTTGTATTGTGTTTTTTGCTTTCTCACTGGCTTCTCCACGTTGTTTTCGACAGTTATTGACCCACCTACCATTGTATTTTCAGAGTGTTTTCTCTTTTTCTTCTTTGTCCTCACATGGTTAATTTTTAAGGTGGGGTCCTTCTATACGTGCAGGATTGAGGATTCACACGGAATACCATCAAATTAGGTGGTATCCAATGAGTCATATTACTCAAATGAGTCATCTCACTAAAATGTAAAATTATACTGGCAGGATTCATAGGGTATATACCATCAAATTAGGTCCTATCCAATCATATTACTCAAATGTAAAATTACAAATTCATAGGCCCTTTTAACCACACAATTCTATCATAGAGGTATAAATAAAAGGTATCTTTTTGTTCTAAATCAGACGGAAATCTGCCCATCAGTCGGGCAGGTCCAACCCAACGCTATATTTGAAAGGTCTAATAAATCTCAATCCTCTCATGTTGGGTGTAACGTCCTTTTTAATTATCTAATTTTTCTGTGTTATTTTGGTTGCGGTGCTTTTGTGAGAGTGTGTTCGAGTGCAGGATGACTAGCCCTTAAATTGGAGATTATTTAATAATTTGGACTTTGGTATTAGTAATAATATTTAGTCATAATAATTTAATCAATAATAGTATTGTTATTATTATTAATTATTATTATTATTAATATTATTATTATTAAGAAAATAAGAGGAATTTGGAATAAAGGGTATTTTTGGCAAGATTGGGAAGGGAAGAAAGAGCACGTGAAGGAAGGAGAGGAATTGGAAGAAGAAGAGCAAGGCCAATTGGAAAGGAAATTGAAGGAGAAGAATCAAGGAGGAAGAAGAAGAGCTTAAGCCATAGATTCTTCGAAGAGTTTCATCATTTGATCGAGTTATCGAGTTAAGGGGGGAGAATCGGGTCGAAATCGGTATATTGCATGAATTCTAGGTAGAGGGATTTTCCCCAGTCCCATGGTAGATTGTTGAACATGTTTGTTTATGTGTTGAATTTCTGAATTTGTTGATGGTAAGATAGGTTTGTTGCATGTGATTGTTGGAATGATTTTGGGATTTCCGGTAGTTTATCATTTTTAAGCTGGAAATGAGTTAATTGGTAGAGCTGAAGTTTTATCGGGTGGAATTTTGAATATATTATGTAGCTAAGTCGCATTAGTGCTGTGAGAACTGGTTGGAGTAAAATCGGGTGATTTCGGAGAGTTTTACCGATTTTGAACAGTGGGGTTTTTGTGAAATCGCAGACATTCGCTAGCATTTTCGCTAGGCGAGCGAATAGCGAACATTCGTTGATGTTTCGCTAGACGAACTAGGTAGCGAGTGCTTCCAGTAGCCACTGTCTGCCTTCGCTAGGGAGTTCGCTGGGCGAGCGAGTAGCGAGTCTTCGCTGATGCTTCGCTAGGCGAGTGAGCCAGCAAGCATGACAGTAGTTTGTGTTTTTGGTGTTGTTCTGTTTCATTCTCTGGTGTTATTGGACCCTTGTTGGTCATGACTGATTGTGAGATTGATAGTGAGTTGTGGAGAGTGTATGTGTGGTGTGGAACATGATTTCCTTGATATTCGTTTAATTAGAATAATCCAATGGGTGTATGTTAGTATACATGGATGTGGTGATGTGTGGGATATGTGTGTGTGTGTGTGTGTATATATATATATATATATATATATATATATATATATATATATATATATATATATATATATATATATATATATATATATATATGTATGATTGTGTGATAAAATGTGATCAGGAGGATCGTGTGCACCGTGGGTGCTTGTGTTGTTATGTGCATTGGTGTCGTGCATATCATGATGTCTTGGTGGGATGAAGCGTTGCTCAAGGTGGAGTGTATGTGATTCATCCGGTGCTCCCTTGTGGAGGGTTGATGGCCCGGTGTCCATCGGTGCTCTTGTGTGGAGAACGGTGGGGTTGAATCGTTGCTCGGTGGAGTGTATGCGATTCACCTATGCTCTTGTGTGGAGAATGGTGGGATGAATCGTTGCTCAAGGTGGAGTGTATGCGATTCATTCGGTGCTCCCTTGTGGAGGGTTGATGGTCAGGTGTCCATCGTTGTTGTTGAGTCGGTACCGCATATCATGGTGTTGAGTTGCATATGTTTGCATCGTTATGTGTGTTGTGTCGGTGTTGGATTGTAGGTCCGGGTGGATGTATGTTGAATGATGTTTGTTTGCTTACTGCCTTTTATTCATGTACATTATTACCACTATATTTTGATCGTGATTTCTCACCCCTTTGGTTGTTGTTGTGGTCTGTGCTTCTTCGGAAGTGCAGACATTCTAGGTGCGTAGCTAGCTTGGATAGCAGCGAGTCGAGTCGTAGGGATGCTCTGATACGTAACACGGGGCTTTTGGGAGTTATTTGTTTATCTGACGATTTTGTTTTGACTCCGTGTCGTATCATGTTTTGATGAATCCTTTTGGTGGATATATTTTGTATATTTTGGGTGGATGGCCGAATATTGATGTATACGATGTTTATATGTACATATCTATATGATAATTTCTGCTGCTTATTGTTGAATTTCTATAAATGAAATGTTTTGTTGAGTTTCTGTTATGTGACATCCCGTGTTGATGTGGCAACTCTGATATTTGTTTTGATTTAAATTGCATTTATTTATTTTTGGGAACAGGGTGTTACATCAGGCACAAACCTCAACAAGGCATGTACGTCGGACAAACGACTTATTTGACGAGAAGACTCACATGTTCCGTCCACGTTCTCCATGTGCTCCCCCATGCGGGAACACGTCATCAGACAACAACCCACCTTCGAAAGAGTCGGTCATCCCACCTTCTGAAGATCACGGGAGAATCTAGGGCGAAGACCACGTGTTGGTCTTCACTATGTCACGTAAGCCTAGACAGTTACTTTGATTGGGTCTGGCAGTCTGGCCCAATACAATGTAATTGTTGGTCCTGCGTTGGGGGCACACTATAAATACCCTCTTTCACTAAAGGGTTAGGTAACTTCTTCCTGACACCTAATATTTGTGCTTGCTTTCTCTCTGATCCTTTACTCACTTAAGCATCAGAGTGCCTTGCAGGTACCCCCTTCTTTCTCCATAACTCCGGTGAAAACAGCAATCCAACGATGCGTGGCGGGTCATTGATCCTTTCTGATCAGGTAAGATCAGTGGTGCCGTCTGTGGGAACCTCAGCTTCCCTGTTCTTTCTCCTGTCTGAGCACAGAAACTCAAAAACCAAAGCGAAATCAACCTTCAACTTCCATCCCAATCATGGCCATCCCACACAATAACAATGCTCCAGGATCTTTCGTCACCCCCTTCTCCAACGGGGATGGCCGCGACCCGAACGCTACCGTCCACAATGAAGAAAATCACTAGAGGGACAGGCGCACCACCTCTTCCTCCTCAGAAGATGCTGCCTTCAACGCCGCCTAGCGCTTAGACAGCTCGACGGTCTACCAACCCATTCCGGTTCCAGCAGGCGCCGACCCTACTGTCACGACCCTGTTTATTATGATCAATCAAACCAACCTGATGATCTTCGGGCAGAACAAACGGATAGGGATGCTCGAGAGAGAGAGAGAGAGAGAGAGAGAACAACCTTTGCGTTTTCCCCTGCTGAGACATCGTCGCCCAGTTTCTCCCAATTCGTCTCCTCCCCCATGGAGACACCGTCAACGGCACTCTGTCAGCCTCTCTCCCCCGAGGAAACACCGTCAACAACATTCTGTCAACCTCTCTCCCCCGCGGAGACACCGTCACCAGGCTTCCATCAGTCCCTCGCCTCCTCCCCGGAAGACACAGTACGTAGAGGACTCTAGGAGCCCATCGCCCCAACCGGCAGAGCGCCGTCCCCGTCTGGAGCGACCCTAGCCGACGGATTCTCAGAAGAGGGACAAGTCACCTCCTCGAGAAGAGTGACACTCCCCGACTCAGAAAAAGAACAAAGCATCTGCAGCCTCCTCCAGATTGA